AATAATGTAGGCATCAAGCTATTCTCAAGAAACCTACAGTTTCTGAACAGTGGGAGAAGATAAAACACATTGGAAACTTATCTGTCTTTTCTTTCTTCATTGATGCTCAGCAAGTGCTTTTTTTTTTTTTTCCCCTATGAATTCTGTCCCTTTGTCTTTTCACTCAGAACCCTCTAATGGAATCCTTGCTAACATTCAGTTCATTTTCTTAGCTCTAGTAGCTCATTTATATACCTGTATTTTCAATATACTTTTTTTTTAAGACTATTCAAGATCCTGTATAGATAGCACATTTGGCTAAAACCATCATATTTTATTACTATTTATGTAATTTTAATGTTTTTCTTCTATTACTTAAACTAACAGTCCATCAAATAACAGACAGACAAGATTAAAGTTGACAAAAGTTAAATGATGTTTTGAGTCTTTCATGTGGATTTTAGGCGGGATACTTTGGTTTTCCTATCTTACCCTTTTGCCTGATATAATTCCAGAGGCATTATTTCAATTTTTCTGTTTCAAACTATGTATCTACAGCTGGCTGCATTCTGTCTCGCCAGCGTTGCTCAGTACTGCCCATGAGCAGTACCTTCTGTTTCCCTTTTTTCCTCTTTGCTTTTTACTTGGCACTTTTAAGACATTGATCATAATGCATAATTTGAATACCGCTTAATCCTGTTTTGCAAAATCATAAAAAATTACCAGCATTCAAAGTTTGTGAGTAGATAACCTCAAGCAAGAAGGTGAAGAAAATTCCCTAAATCTCCGAGATCGGCTGGAGTTGGACCTTTAGGCTGTACTACCACCCATTGGCTTAAAGTAGAATCAGCAAAAGCAGCGGGGTGGACAAAGCCTCTGCTCTGCTGTTGCAGCACAGCCTGCCACGGTAACCCAGCTCCTACGAGGCTGTGAATCCCAACAGCTGAAGGCTCCTCATTCCTGATGGATTTAGCTGCAGTGGCTAGAGAGATTACCAACCCCCAACATGGTCCTCTTTGATCATAGCTACATCTGACAGGGATTTTGGCTTTTCAAGGCAGGGCTTCTGTCTGGTCATATGGGATGTTCTCGGTAGCTGGTCCAAGACTAGAATTTTTTTCCACAAAAACTGAGGGAGTTTAAAGGTGTCATCACTTAATTTTTTTTTTTTTTTTTTTTTTGTAAGGGAACCTTAAAATATTTACCATTTCAAATGTGAAGTTCTCTTCATAGATGTAGATGCAAGCTATCTTGCTCTTCTCTCTCATTCTGGAAGGTGTTTCACTCAGGATCACTCTCTACAGCTCAAGATCTTAGTATGTGGAAACAGTTCCTGTGCAGGACAGAATCCACATGAAGCTTGCTACAGATTTCTTAGTATTGCAGGTAAAACTACTTAACCTTGAAGGTTAATTGTCAGCAGAAGTAATGAACTGCTATGGGTTTTGATAATGTCAATATAATCCAGTGCATCTTTAAATCTTTAAACAATTGATTCTTTTATTTGGTCAGATAAATCATCAAATCTGTTTCTTTTCATGTCAGTAATGTGCATCCTTCTACATTTTCTTTAGGCTTTATAGCTACCTGAGTAGCATTGCTCAAAAGTGGAACAAAATGCCTAGGTCCAGAAATAATCAAATACAAATACAAATCTTCCTGTGCCTACTTCAGGCATAGTTTATCATGTAACTATATATTTAGATATGACAGATCACATTGCTTTTTGTCCAGGAGCTATGAAAACTGTGGAACTCTAACATTCAGTCCATCCTGCATATCCTGTGAATGGAGCTTTTGTCATACATATACATACATCTTACAGTATCTTTTAGTAAGGCACATTAGTTTCAATTAGAAATTTGCCTAAAATGTACCTAAGAATATAAAAACTTCTGGCATTATCTCTGCTAGGATAACTTTAAAATTTTTGCTTCGTGTCATAGAAGAAAAGTAACATTCGTGTGTAGACTCTTTTGTTGATATTAAACATTAGCTCATTTCATACACTTGATAACCAACCTTTAGCAGCTCAGCTCATTAAACATAATGTCTTGCTTCACATCAGTTCTATCTGAAGAGTTCTTCATGTTAAGAACAGGTAATATAGGGCTATTGTTACTGGCTTTGTATCATGGAACCAAGAAAGCAAGAGGAGAAAGATAAACATTGTACAGAGAAAGATACAAGTACAGCTTTCTGGGTATATGAATATTGGTATCAGTGGATTTTGAGATTTAGATTTGCAGCTGGCAAAAATAGTAAATATTGAGCCTAATTCATGATATTACTGGTTCTACACCAATAAGGTAACAAGAGCAGACAGAATAAAGGAATATTCTGAGTCTTTCTTTACTGAATGTGAACACTTTTTTTTTTTTTTATGCTATTCCTGCTTGCTGAGACTGACCATGAACAAGAAGACAGCCAAGGTAGTACAAATTCAACAACAGAGAACGCACGTGTGGATCTTGTCAGTATTATGAGAATGCCTTAATTTTATAACTTTTCTAGACTATAGTTCACAGATGAACTGTGACCTGGTTACTGTATCGTGTATTAAAAAAACCCAGCATTCATTTATTGTCTGTACTTTTATAGCATTTCCTTAATAAATCTTCCTTCCAAATCTTCCATCATTTTCAGTAATAAAAATATTTTGGAGCATTTCCAACATACAACTATACTAGTTATAGGAATTGCATGATTTTTGTTTGTGGTGTGCTTTGAAGATATAACTTACATTTTCCATACAACTGCTTAACATAAATGCCCACTTCAGAATATGGGAATTTTTTTCTCTTATTAATATGAACAATATTGCATGACAAATACTCAGCTGTATAAGCTTGCTGAGATCGGTACTATTTTAAGTCATATCATCTGTTTAAAAATAACTGCATTTTAGCTCCATTCATCAGAGGGCGAAGTTGTTACTTAAGCAGTTGATTCATTTAACTAGAAAGCTGTTCTAAAGTTACTTTAAAATTTTTTGTAATGTCAGTATTTGTGTGTTTAAGAGTATTTAGCTGTAGCCTTATGTTGCTACACGAAGTTATAGGTATGTCATTTCATTAGGTTTCACGGAGCAGTGCTAAGCCTTCAAGGATTATTTCTGCATCAACCAACAGGTACCACACCTTCTGGAAATGCAACTGTTGCTGCAGCAGAATACCTAAATAGCAAAATATTTATGAAAGCAAGGAGTATGGAAGGCGAGGGGGGAGCCCTTCTTCAAAGTCAAATGTCTATTGTGGTTTAGCCCCAGCCAGCAACTCAGCACCACGCAGCCGCTCGCTCACTCCCCCTAACATGATGGGATGGGGGAGAGAATCGGAGGAGTAAGAGTGAGAAAAACTCCTGGGTTGAGATAAGAACAGTTTAATAATTGAAATAAAGTAAAATAGGAATGATAATAAAAACAATATAATAATGATAATATTAATGATATACAAAGCAAGTGATGCACAATGCAATTGCTCACCACCCACCGACCGATACCCAGACAGTTCCCAAGCAGCGATCGCTGCCCCCCCGCCACCCCCCCCCCCCCCT